TGCCCATGATCAAAGTGAGCCTTCAAATTGGAGTACTTAAGCTGTGGATTGACCAGGAGAGGGATGGGCTTCATTAGGTTTACTTGCCCAAGACACGATATACATAAATGGATACCTCTCCAGCTTTCAACCCAGATATGTTGAGGGAACTGGTCAGGGGCTCAGCTGTGTAGTGACCCTACAACCACTCCCAATCATGGGACTAATGACTGATTTGTTTTACAGCTTATCAATCTTTTGCAGATTATTTAAAGCCAGAAAATATTTCTTGATTGTAAGAATTTTTATTTTTAGAGATAATGATTTCCTGATACACGTCTTACTAATTAACCCATATATGAGGGGAGAAAAGGTGAATTCATACCTTTGTGCATAAGTGAATATAAAGAACCAGACTGGAACTTGAACTTGGCTCTCCGTTTTCCAATTTCAAGCGGTTATCCATTACACCACCTACACATACAAGCTTACAGTACCTGATATTCCCAAGCAGTCACTAATATAGATACTGACCAGGCTAACTTTTCTGAGTTTGCAAGATCTGGTGTTTCAACATGATATGGCAGTAACCTGGGAATAATGATAACGGTTTAAACATTCTAGACTGATTTCTCTACATCTGTGCTTATAAACATGCAAAGTAAATTATTAATTTTCTGATAAACAAAGTTGATATTCATCTTTAACCTGACAGCAAATCTCATATCATTTGGCTGCTTGAAAAAGAAACTATTACTAATTATTGTTAACTTAATCTCTCCTACACTGAATATATTTATTAATCAAAATTAAATTCAATTTGTAAGTTATTTATATAAGTTAATCCCTGTATATTTTTATGTCATGTCCTTTCAGGATGTTATGTGAACATGGCTCCTCACAAACACATTTTCTTTATTATCTGTAGATTCTGAAGACTTCATGAAAAAGAGTGATTTCCTATCAACTTCTCCATGGTTTGGAATTCAGAGTAGTTATCCTCCTAGACTGGTTGTCACCCAAGGTTAGAGAGTCCATTCTGTGCTGCCATTTAACCCAAGGAAAAATAGATGGATTCATGCCTTTTTCAAAGAGCATTAGTGTGAAAATGAATAGAATAGAATAAACCAGATTTTGAACAGTGGCTCACCAATTCCTCTTCCCATGCCAATAACTGTCATGCTATATATATATCACCCTATGCCAAATATATCCTGGTAGGAGTATACTAAGCTTATATGGTTAAGGCTGTTTTATTCAAGAATGTTCAACCTATATGGTTGAGGCAGTTTACTCAGGAATATTCAGCCTATATGATTGAGGCAGTTTTATTCAAGAATGCTCAGCCTATATTGTTGAGTCAATTTTACTCAGGATTGCTCAGCCTATAAGGTTAAGGCACTTTTCTTCAAGAATGCTCAGCCTATATGATTAAGGCAGTTTTACTCAGGAACTTGGTCCTTTACATTAAACTAAATGCTAGAAATTTACACATGGCCTACTACCAGTGTTGTAAGAGTTCAAGTCATTGGAACTAAATTTATCTATTTCTCTAAGATCATCCTAGGCATTTATATGTTCATATAATTGAAATTCGATAGTGTATCAATTAAAAAAACACAAAATATTAGGTTGAGTCATAAGTAATTTCCTTTTTTGAGTACCAGCCATAATTATGAAAGTATCATCCTAACAACTAATCACACGGTAGTTATTTTTCAAACTCATATGGTCTGTTCTACTACCCCACCCACCATATTAACCTGACCTTGCACTAACCAATTATTACCTTTTTCGATCTCTTCAAATGCTTTTCTCTAATGAAAACCAAATTTCAAGAGTTTATGGAAAACCTTTTGACATCAAAACTGTGGAATTTTACTCAAAACGTATTGATGAGCCGCCTGATATGTGGCAACAAGTCATTGTAAATAATGGTGAATATATGATTGATTAAAATGTAAGTGGACTTTATTTTTTGAAGAATAAAGTTGATAAATAAAAACAGAAAATATTTACAACTCAACCTAATAAATTGCTAATTTCAAAGCATATACAACTGCATGGAAATTGCTATTTTCTCATAATGATTCAATAGCATATACTTCTCTATGACCAGATTTAGTTACATACTATTGCCCATGTTTGACCTGCAAGATCTTTCTAGAAAGGGTTAATAAGTCAATACACATTATAAACATTGTATTTGGAGTGACAGAAAAATTGTACAAATCTGAAAGAGATATTATTGATGCAATATTGTTCAATAACAATATAAATGCAACAATGATATTGCTAATTAAATATTTCTATAAACATATCAACTAAAAGTCTGGTGACAACAAAACACTGCTGACTCTTCTGGGCCTGAGGTTTGTTTTTGTAGTTTCATTTGACTCCCTCCCCCTCTCCGAGTTTGATGAAACCACAAAATATACCAAGAATCCAGTAGAGATCATGGATACAATGTTACAATGATGATGAGCAGGATTAGACAACACAACACATTAATAAATCCAATACAAACAAGTCATCAGCACAGATTTATCACAAGCATGCACAAAAAATACCTTTTGGAGTGGAGAACACAGAATACCAAGATGTTCATTATTGGATCCTTGTCAAGTGACTGCTAAGAAAATTTCTGATAATGTAAAGATTTAGCTTTCAATAGATTTTTTTTTCTTTTTTATTATGGCTGAAAATATCAATGAAGGGCAATCAAGATATTGACAATAAGGATGGAGATATCTTTTTCTGACTTCTTTGTACAAAACTCGTGAATCAACAAGGTTTGATTTAATTTTTATACAAGACTTCCAAGTACACAGGCATCTTTATAGATCACTCAGTGCCAAATAACATTTCTTTTAGTACTGACAAACTCTTTCCTTTCTGTTGAAGAACAGATAGAAAATAAAAACATTCTTCCATCATCTCTTTAAATACTGACATCTAGATGAATCACTGAACACCTAATATCATTTTTTTTTTTTTTATTTCCAAAGACAAATAGATTATGGAAAAAAAGACAACTTTTGTTGCCTGTGAAAAAGATGAATCCTTATAGCAGAAGGATTTAAAACTTCTCAATTTAAATTGGAAAGAATCATTTTTTTTTTAGATTGTGAACACTAGACATAGATGAGTAGATTGTGAGTAATAAAGATGACAACATCAGATTCACGCAAACAGACATACAGAGATCTTAGTCAAGACTTTTAATCATTCATCTCAAAATATATTTTTAATGTGGTCATGGTATAGAAAACATAAAATATGACTAAATGTTAAAATGAGAAAAAAAAAAAAGCCACTGCGAAAAAGAAAATTTAAACAGAAATACTTGCAAAGTAAGTTATTTGATTTTCAGCAACAACTAAAACAAAAAATAGGCAGAGAACATCAACGGAGTGTGAGAAAAATGACAGGATTTGCATGCATCAACTTGTTGCCTAGATGTACGAGTCAGACCAGTGTGGATTGCAACACAGTGTAGCTTTTGTTTCTCAACAAGGACAGAGTCAAGAATTTTCTGCTTAAACAAAGGAAATGAGAACATTTTCATGTTAAAAATGATGTAACAAACAGTGCTGCTGAAAACTGAATAACTTATTTTAACATTTGAAATTTTTGTTTGTTACTGTTTTTTTTGTACTACCATGTGAAGAAAGATCATCTTTATTCATACGAGTATTACATATGAAGAAGGATATAGAATGGATTGGCTGAGATTTTGTGGGAGCAACAAAAGAAAATCACACTTACATACAAACAAACACACAAATGAGTTTAATTATCCAAAAACAGGAAATTCCAATTAAAACCTACACTAAAAGCAATAGCAATATTCTAGATATCCTAAACATTTGAAACATCAAATATTATTTAGTCAAGTGGAATTGGACATTTTGACACATGATGTTTGAGAGAGAAAAGATATTTTAGTCCTAAGACATTTTGGTGCCATAATGTGAGTGAATGAGAGAAAGTTATTTTTGTTCCTATTAAATTTTGATGCCTTGATGCTTTAGATTTTAGAGAGAGAAAAAAGCTACTTTTGCTCCCAAAACATTTTGGTGGCATGATATTTTAAAGAGAGGGAGAGAAAAATATTTTGGTGGCATGATGGGAGAGAGAAAAAAAAAAAGTAAGATATTTTTGGTCCTAAGACATTTTGGTGCCATGATGTTTTAGAGATAAAGAGAGAGAAAGACATATAGGTGTTATGATGTTTGAGAGAGAGAAAGAGAGAGAGAAGAAATACGTTTTGGGGCCATGATGTCTTAGAGTGAGAGAGAAAAGACATTTTGGTGCCATGTACTGTGGCAAAATCATATTTTCATTTCTGAAGTAGAAATTTCAATTTTCCAAAGTAACCCTATTTATTATTAAAATATCAGAATTCAAATAAGTATCTACATTACATATTCATCATTTTTGGTTTTAGTAAAAAGAAAAATATGAACATTAAATAGAAGTTAAAATATTAGGAAAAATAATTTCAATTATTTTTACTATTAATATAATCTGTTTGATTATAGATGATCCTTGGTATTATAGATATTCCTTATTAAATTTGTGTCAAATTATAAAAGAATAGAACTCAATCAGTGATGATGAAATGTATGAGTTCCTTTTTACTTCTTGACCTTAAAATATGGGCCATGAGATAAAAGAGCATGTCAATTTCTGGAAATATGATTTAGCGATCTTATTTACTAAACACTGAGTGCCAAAATGTCCTTTAGAGTAATTAACATAAATACTGAATTCTGGAATAAAAAAAAAAGGAATAACGTAAATGAAACAATTCAATAAGCAAGATTTCAATTTTTCACTCATAAAGTTAACTTATTAAACATTTTGGAAATAATAACCATTTGTCTTAACATGAATAATCGTTCATCAGTTATTTTGAATACTGACAAATATTAGTAATGATCTACAAAGCTGCAGACCTACTGTCCATAAAATATTAAAAAACAAAACAGACAACACACAAACAACTATCCACTTACCACCTAAGGTTGTAGGATCTCCCGTTAATATAATCTGACCATCCTGATTCACTGTAGCTTCAGCTAATGTTGCAACAGTATGTGCATCAGAGTTTGCATTCATTTCAACTCGTACAGGAGCAGGCTGCCCAGTGCCTGTTGTTTCCATGTGTGTTGCAGCATCAGCCAAAGTCTGAACTGCTTGTGTCGCTTCTTGCTGATGATTTTCAGGCACCTTTAAATAAAACAAACCAGAATAGCAGCATGAAAATCTGACAGCAGTTTGGTAAGGAACTCCAGAAGGATCAGACCAGTGGTCAGAAATTGGAAAAAAAATAAATTACTATAAAGAAATTTTAACTACCTTCAACTGGTTGATGAGATTTTCTATATTTTCTTTTTCACAATTAACCATTCATATATTAGTGGATTTGTTTTGATATCCCCAAACTACAGGACTTTGTACATTCACTAACATACATAGGATAGTCAAACAGTTTATAATCCCAAAAAGGGTTTTTACAAAAGTTACTAGTGTTAATAGTACAAATAACAAAGGAACTAATATGTGTGGGTCTTACTCCAAATGTTGGCACTGAATTCAAATAACATTTAAGTAAGTTACATTTCCAGTAGGGTTCCAAACTGACTTTTTTCACCATCTACCTTGACCTGTCTCAAAAAACAATTTTAATCCCTCCTGAAATCAAAATGGTGATCATTATTAGTAGTTGTTAGTAGCTTAATAAAAACACCACTGAAATGTTTAGGAAATAAATTAAGAAAGCTAAAAGATTAAAGTTTTAAAAAGTGAATAATTACAAAAATAAATTTGTTAAATTTTACTGGAATTTTTACAAAGATCACAAATTTATTTTTATTTAAGCATTTCTGTTAAATCACCTTAAATAATTTTACATGGAAGCATTTTAATTAATCAATTTTCATGATCAGAATAACTGCTAAAACTAGTTTCTCTGGACACCTTTTTCTATGCAGCAATAAAATTGTTAGAAACTAGAAACTGATTATCATTTTTAATTTTACAGTTTATTTTTTGGCCAACATGTGCATAAAGTCTTAATATATACATGTCTACATTGAAATATTTTTTTACAAACATTGTACAAAATCTTTAAAGCAATGACAGACAATATTACTTCATTACTTTCTTCTGTTTATTGGATTAAAGTTTATTCAACTAAGAAAGCATTTAATTTCTCACTGATCTGCTTTTAGATTTCAATTTGTGATAGTCTATAGAACCTTTTCTACTAACTTCAACTGGATTTTATTCTCAGAAGTATTAGTCCACACATTCCTAATTTTTTTTTTTTTTCTACTAATTACATTTTCAGGGCCCTTTATTAACATGTAAAATTTCCATATTTATAACCTTAAAATGTAAAACAATGTGTGAAATTGTGTTTATCAGGAATTCTCTTTTTTTATAATATAGCATTAACTTTTACATTTGACATGAAATAGAATCTTTTAAAAATAAATGCAAAAACAAATTAGTTAAATTTTACTGTAATTTTTATAAAAATTCTAACTTTATTTTTATTTAAACATTTTGATTAAATCACCTTGAATAATTCTAAATGGATTTTTTTTTTATTGATGAGCATGAAAGCTCATTGTAACTTATCATACTTTAAGAATTGTGTTCTATGCATTCATTTTCTATATAATGAATACTAGCACATTCCAATTATTCAAAATTGAAAAAAATTAACTTACAATTGCCTGATTTGTTTTGACTAAATTTTTCATTTTTATCATTTTTAAATTTTCTCTTATATTTTCATTATCATTTTTTGAATTCTCCTTTGAGTTTTCAATTTTAGTTGATCAGCAGAAAATATAAATATGTTTTTTAATGATTCATTCAAGTTTGTTTTTAACCAGAGAACAAAAGAAAAATACAATTTTTTATTTATTAAAGCAAAATTAGTTCTTATGATTAGATCCTAATATTTTTTCACCATTTAGAAATAATAGAAAATTTTAAATTTAAGTCTTTCAACCATCATTTTTCATTCAGGTTTTACTCATTAGTTTAAAAAAAAAAAAAAAAGAAGCACTTAAGTTTTGGTTATTTTTTTTATTTTTTATTTTTTTGTGTGCATATGTACTCTATTTATTAAAAGTCTACCACTATTGGTGATAAATAAGGGATTTGGGGAGGGGATTTTTTTTTGTTGTTTTTAGGAAATTATTGCTTTTAAAATATAAGAGAACTTTAATTAAAAATTTTGTATTGTCTTATCATCCTCCCCCAAAAACCTAACCAGTCATCCCAAAATAATAATGTTTTATTGTCTGTGGGATTAATTAATTTCAAGTCCTGATTTACAGTATGTATTTTGCTGCAATAGACAAGTATTTAAGAACTAACCACTTAGAACTGCTGACAAATCTCACCAGAAAGTTCTTCGTCTAAGTATGAGTGACAAGATATTTCATTGATATGACAATACTGCACATTGACAATAGTAATAATGATAATATATAGGAACCTCAGGTATATGGAAATTTTTTTTTTTTTATTACTATCATAAACACCATTATGAATATCTAACAACACACAAATCACAGTTGTAAAAATAAATCATGTAACCCAAAATGTATTTCTTGATCCTATTAACAAAAATAGGAAAATCTCAAGCAATATAATTCCTTTCAGATTGTAATTGGCTTAAAGTCTATGCAAATTCTTTTTGTATTATAGCAAAGAAATATATCTTTTCAATGACTCTTATTAATCAATACACAACAAAAAGAGCTGTTATTACAATGACTTAACAAAAATTATTACAAGTGCAAATAGCAATGTAACTGACAACAAGATTCAAAAAGAAAAAAATTAGTGGATGGGATTGCAGATTCTAAGGTTGGTTTCAAATAAATGCATCTGGAAAAAGTATCTTATCTGTGTTTGTGTTTCATTACCAGTTCTCTTACCCAGAGAATTGTTACTAATATGTTAAAATGACAAATGTGGAAAAGAGTGAGAGTCAACCTATACTAGTCTCCTTCACTATTATTCAGTACATGGATAAATCTTAGATTAAAAAAAAAAAAAAAAAAAAAAAAAAATGTAGGTTCAGTCTGGAAAAAGTAGTACATCTGATGGCATAAAAGACACATTTTACTCAAATATCAGATTTTCTTAATCTTTTAATGCTCAATGTAAAATCGGGTATTAATTATAAAAAAAATTGTATTAATTATAGCTTCCTAAAAATATCTTAATTATAGGTCTATAAAAATCTAGTATTAATTATAGGCTAAGAAAAAAAACAGAATTATACACTTATAAAAATCTGTAATTAATTATAGGTTTTTGCTTATTACCCCAACTACTCCTATTTTGGGGACGGTGGCCATTAAATGATTAAATTTGTAATAAATGAGTAAAAGGAAATATTTTTTTTCATTAGTTTTTTTTTTTTTTTTTTAAACTGAGCCAAAATGGAGAAATTGGATGACATTTCAATAACATTTGATATACAATCCAATAATTTTCTCTTAATATTACCTATACTGAAATGGCAAGGAGGTAGTGGTTGGATATAACAAGCTTGCACAAACCATTTACTAAAATTACACAAATTCACAGAACTTGTTTATTTGTTTTACAGCCATCACAAAAGATTTACAGATGTAAATAAAGACAACAACTAGTTCCTTATATCATAGATAAAAAAAAAAAAAACTGAGTATGTAAAAAAAGAACTCATTCCTAAAAAGATTTAATACCGCAACTAAGCGCGCGGGGGGGGGGGTGTTCTTATAAGACAATAAATACAGTAACCACTATCAAAATACACTGGGCTCACAAGCAGACATTTGGCATTGTTGGAACATGTCCCAAGTGATATGTACTATATGTAATCTGAAAGTAGACAGTCTCAGAATTTCAGAAATGGTCATTGTCCTACCTTCAAGTATTTGTCAAGTTATCATTTTATGAAGTTAATCAAAACTTACACATGTTTAAGCATCTAATTTTAGATTAACAGTCCTGGATATCTGCTATTTCTGCTTCTTTTTGCTTGGAAATTCATTTTCTTGTCAAAGGTTATAATGACAGACTAATTTAACTTAACACTGTTTCTTAAAAACGAGCTATAATCAAGTGGATTTTGGAGCCCTACAACACAAATTTTAGTCAACAGTTAACATTGTTTTCTCTCCTTATTTTGCCTAATTTTTTGACCTGATCCCCAATTTTGAATAAGGCTAACAAAAAATGTTCAAGACAATTTTTTTTCTCCTTTTTAGTGTAAGTTCCCAAATATTAAAAAAAATGTAAATTTGCAAATGTAAGAAATTTGTTCTCGGGAAATTTAAAACATTCCTTTCATACGTTAAATTGATCATTACCTGCTTCTAGCACAAAATATCAGCTTTCAGCAAACCTTTCCTTCTATTCATCAGAAAATCATGATCTAAACCTATGTGCAAATAACATTAATGCAGTTCAAAAACTGAGCTGAAAATCATTCTGGGGGCTCAAAATCTACAAATGTCTACTTTGCTCTGCTCTCTTGTGTGAATCCATTGTATAAAAATTTGAAAAAGAAAAAAAAAAAAAAAAAAAAAAGAAAAGGAAAAAAGAAAAAAAGAAAAGGAAAAAAGAAAAAAAGAAAAAAAAAAGAAAAGCTATTTTTATTTTTGCAAAATGATAATGTTTGCCAATTGGCCATTTCTTGATAAAATTTTAGTCAGAAGTGCACTTCATACAAACCCAGCAAAAAAAAAAAAAAAAAAAAAAAAAATCATGAAATTTACTTACAGCATGAACCACAGTTGCTTGTGTACCATCAGCTAAAGTGACCACAGCACTATTGCCAGACGTCCCTGTGTCAATCTGAATGATCGATACTGTCCCATCAGGATTATTGATGGTCTGGACCATGGTGCCTGCATATTGATGGGGAGGAGATGCTTGATTCTCTTCTGTGAATTCTGGCAACATGTCTTCACGTCCATGATGCTTATAACAGTTTTTTACTATTTGCCTTAAGGCATGTGTCCATGATACCTGAAGTAGAAATTGCATAAAATTGTTTTAAACAAGCTGATAAAAAAAGTTCCAGTAGGACTTCACCATCCATGGAATTGCCAACTGTGGTCTCACTTATCTGTCGTTGGCCCAATCATGAAGACAATCATGTTCAAAACTTTTATTAAATTAAAACTACTTTGCAACATATATTCCAAAAGAGTAAAGTGTGCATGTGTGTGCAATCTGACATATATAAATGTTTTGTAAATAAAAAATACACAATAATGATTTACTAATAGAAGGGCTATTAATTAACCCATAGCTGGTGGGAGAAGAGGGGGATTCATCACTTTTTCAAGGTTATTTGTGCATAAGTGAATATAACGAACCCGACTGGAATTGGAACTCAGCTCTCTGATTTACAATTCCAACTTTTATCCATTATACGGCCTGCACATCCAAGCTTACAGTACCTGGTATTTCCAAGCGGTCACCCATCTATGTACTGACCAGGTTCGGTGTTGCTTAATTTTGGTGATCATATGAGAAGTGGTGTTTCAATGTGATATGGTTGTAAGCCTGAATCACCATTTGTTTTGCTAATGTAGATTTTGTGCTTGCAAAATAATTTTTCTGATAACACTGGTTCATTGGTGAAGCCTTTTCAAATCATTTTAATTATTATTTGATTTTTTTCACCCCAAGCAAGGGGATATTGCCACTAAAACACAGGCAGATACAGGGAGTGAAAGGGGAAAACTTTAGTGGGTAAGACTGAGGAAAGGACAAAAGAGGAACAGGGCTCAGCAAGACAGAAGATGGCGACTGATGTTGTAATGTTATCAGTGTAATGTTTGATGAGAAAATGAGACTAGATTTTCCATACATAAAATAACTATTCATTAACTCCATCAAATAAATGTCATCTGAATTGAGGATATGTGATTTCAGGTCTTTCTTTGAATGTTTGATCTTTTTTTTTTTTTTTTTTGCAAATCATTTTGCCCCCACAAACAAGATTATAATGTCACTAGACAAAAAAAGGAACAGGAAGACAGAAGATGACGATTGACATTACTTTTAAATTTTTGAATATTGTAGTTATCAGGGAAGCAAGAAATCAGGAGGGAGTTCCACAGGTGACAAGTGTGAGAAAAGAAACTTATATAGGAAGCTGCTTATTGTTATCACCTGGGTACCAGCTGATAACTAAGCAATAACTGATAACAGTAGCTATTATTATAATAAAAAGCTCTCTTTTAAATTATGAAAGACTTGTGTGTGTGTGTGTGTGTGTGTGTGTGTGTGTGTGTGTGTGTGTGTGTGTGAGGTATGGTGGAGTAGTGGATAGCGGCTTAGATTGAGGAATTAGAGAGTCGAGTTTGAATTCCAGTTGAATCCATTACATTCACTTAAATGCTAATATCACTTTGGAAAGATATTAATCTCTTCTCCCTCCAACTATGGGTAAAATAGCAGGACAGACTGAGTTCTATAGCCTGGGATGGCAACTGGTCTAGGAGAAGGACAACTCTGAATTCAAAACCTGCAGAGGGTCGTTTGGAGACCTTATGGCATGTAGTGCACCAGGTATCTGCATTCAGCACCTTCAAAAAGTGGTTGGTCCTGCACAAAGCCTTCACCACTATAATCAAACCATATGTACTGATGTCTGGGTTGTCGGTTCCTAGGAAATGAGCTGCTTGACCCTCATACATCGAATATGATGGGAGAGTCCACCATACACACACATACACACTTTGTATGTGTCCTTTTTATTTTTACTAAATCAAATGGTAATTTTAGGCATTTCTTTTTCTGTTATGTCTTTTGTGATTTTTTTTTCTTATCATTACTCTTCTTCCTATTTTGTTTTATATATTTTTGTATATATTTATATATACTTTGAAAATATCCATTCTCAGTACAGATGTGTTTCAAGCAAATAATTCTGTTGTTATAGGACAGTGCCATTGTTGTAAGACAAGTAATTATTTTCATTAATATATACACCAAGTACATAATTAAATGTTAAAGAATAAATGCAATTTTTTTTCCTTTTTTCACAGCTTATCAACCTTTCCAATGCTATCTAAAGCTGAAACACATTTTTGGATTGTAAGAATTTTTTGACGATAACAATAATTTTCTGATACAAGTACTACTATTTAATACAGTGGTTCTCAACCCATGGACTACTTTTACTCTTTACTTTTTTTTGGTGGACCCCATAACCATTCAAAAAAAAAAAAAAGCTTAGTTTTAGGAATTGTATTATAGAAATAGTAAATGTATATGCTTTATTTTAAAGTAAAACTAATTTAATGAAAATAAACTTGTATTTAACATTTATATACACTTGTAAAATAACCCATAATGGAACATCTATATACACTAGTAAAAACCCATAATAAACCATTTTAAAATATGTAATTTGCTATTTTTTTGTGTGGACACCAGTTATGTTACATGGACCCCCACAGTCCATATGGACCTCAGGTGAGAACCTTTGATATAACCATAGAATGGAGGAGAGGAAGTGGATTCATACATTTCCCAAGAGTGTTTGCACGTAATTGAATATAGTTAACTCAACTGAAATTCAAACTTGGCTCTCCAATTTCTTATTCTGAGCCATTATCCATTACCCCACCTATATATCCAAGCTTACAGAACCTGGTATTCTTGAGTGGTCACCCATCCAAGTCCTGACCAGGTTCAACATTGCTTAACTTTGGTGATCATATGGAAACCGGTGTTTCAACATGATAAATACTAAAATAAATAACTACTAGTATCAATGATTTGAATGCAAGCAAATCTGCAACTATCATGAACAGTATTATTTATTATAACTGGAACTTTGGAATATTTTACCTGCTGGGGATGGCATAGTGGTTGAAGTGTTAAACTCAGCCACAAGGCTTACTGTGCAAACCCCCAGATCAGCACTTGCCTTATAAATCACTGCTCAATAAAGAGAAGAAAAAATGATTTCAGAATGCATAAGAAAGAAATACACATTATTGAAACAAATATTGATGTAATGTTGATAGAAGTGTCATATACAAGATCTGTCTGAAAAGTAAACGGGACTGGGTGGGCTGTGTGAGTTCTTGCCACAAGGCCAGATGATCAATCAGAAAGTCTACAAAAAGATCCTACAGCATTTACTTCACTCAGTGTGCAAGAAGAGACAAGAGTAGTGGCAGGACAAATCGTGGCTGCTTCACCATGACAATGCACCTGCTCACAATGCCCAGAGCATCTGGCAGTTCTTGGCCATGAAGAACATTGCTATACTAGAATGATTTTTCTATTCCCCTGATCTTGCTCTGTGTGATTTTTTTCTTTTCCTCAAGAGGATTATTGAGGGGACCCATTTTGAAGTTGTGAAGGCCATCAAGAGGGGTATCCAAAATGAATCCTTCCAGCCGTGCATAGAAGCGTGGCAGAGAAGGATGGAAAAGTGCATTAGACCAAAGGAGGATTACATGTAGTTTGTTGTTTGAAATTGAAATAAATTGTTTGTGACAATAGTCCCGTTACTTTTCAAACTGACCTTGTAAAATTAGCGCATGCAATTCTTAGAATATCACTGTCTGCAATCACTTGCTGCTGTTTTTTTTATACAGCTACTCTTCACTTAACAACCAGGCTCCGATCCAACAACATGGTTACTAAACAAGAATTTATACCTGACTACTATTCAGGTATAATACTAATATGAAAACCTAATAAAATTTTGTACCCACCCACACTACAGATTATTTCTATTTTGGAAAATGAGGATGAAGAGTTATTATTTGCACTATTTATATTCAGACTATTGTCTCCATCCTTGTTATCACAAAATTTTGGCCATTGTGCTCGATAGGTATCCTAAGGCAATAAGTAAGCAGTACTATAAATAAGAACTAGAAGATATCACTAGGCATGGGCAGTAAAATGAGAACAGTCTAAACCCATAAATTAAATAAAGGGTTCAGTTAAGAATTCTCTGTAGATTACCCAGGTCAATATACACCTGAGGAAGGCTAGAGAGCACATCAGACAAAAAGTTGTGATAACACCAACAAAGATGAGGAGATTAATCTGAATATAGTCTAAAAAATAAAAGTTTGAATTTTTAGAGGTTTTTACTTTTTAACGAGACAATATGCTTTTAATTTTATGGGCTGTCATTATCTTATTTCATTTTCCATTGTACAAATAAACTAATATCATTCATATAAGGTCTGATCAAAAAGTATCAAAACTGTTGCTATGGTAACTGAGCTAAAATAGGCAGAGTAAGGCCCCTTGACACAGATTGACCTTGAATTCTGTTGCGCATACCCATTAAGTTATAACGTTGTTCACTTCCGTTGTTTATAGAATTACTTGGAAGGAAAGTATGTAAAGTGTGGTCATCTCACCATGCCACAGAGATTACATCAGTGACCATGGCTTGTGCAGCAGTTTTTAGCTAAGCACAACATTTCCAACGTCCAGCAACCAACATATTCCTCAGATCTCATCTTTTGCAACATTTTCTTCTTCAAAAGTTAAGTCCCATTTGAAACGAACCAGATTTCAAGACGTCAAGAAGATCCAAGAGAATGTGATGAAGTAGCCGCTTTCTATCCCAAAAAAAGATTTCCAGGAATGCTTCCATCAATAGAAATGATGCCAGATAAAGTGTGTAAGCATCAGAAGGGGTCTATTTTGAAGGAGATTAAATGCTAAATTGATATGAGTTGTAGTTTTCTTTTTGATCAGGCCTCACAGTCTTAATTTACCTAACTCAACGTGAATATTTGCAAGGTTCACTGTAGAAACATTAGTATTCTCTAACAAACAACTTATATATGTGTATGTGTGTGTGTAAAGATTTTATATCTAAACTAGCCAGATATTTGTTTTTGATATCTATGTTTTTAATTTATTTAACAGATCACTAAAATCTTTACACATAAATGCTCATACAAAGAAATGCCATGTATATATATATATATATAAAATAAAAAAAGTTAATGGTCAGAGCTGAATTAGACCAGGAAACAGTAGTATTAAAAAGTGCTCAATACACATATAAAAAAAAAAATTTAATATGTGGAGCTTTTAATTTTATAAAAAAAACAGATCAGCCAATTCCACTACCTTGGTTTCAAATGACCAAATTCACCTGAAGATACTGAAAGGTTGAAACCGAGGTAGCAGAATTGGCTGATCTCCTAATTTTTAAAAACTATATATATATATATATATATACACACACACACATATATATATATATATATATGTGTAGTAACTATATTTTTTTTTAGTGCTCTATCCATTCAGGGCATGGCTGATCATGGCTCTGCAAACATACAATGTGACCTTCACCCAGCTTTCTACTGATCAGCCAATGCTCACACCATGTTTCATCTCTATTCTCAATCACTTTGATGTGCACACAAAACAGGGAAAGGTTCGCCAAATGTTAAATAAGAAAGAATAAATAAAAATTAAATGCCAAGGTGTAAAAATTACAAGGTAACCAAAAAAGTTCTGTCCGTTTTTTGATTAGTCACTGAATGAAGTTGAAATATATACAAAATGCATGTAGCAATTGTTTTCAAATTCGGACAGCCAGAAGTAGGAACATCAGACGTTATAAAAAACATGCGCACCGTGCCCTGCCATCAGTTATAAGCCGGACATCTGTTAGAAGGATGGAAGTGTCTAGAGATCTCGTTCGGGACTGTTTGCTTTACGACTTCAAAATGGGCTTATCAGCAGCTGCATCAAGTCGCCGCATATGTCAAGCGTTTGAGGATAGTGCTATGGATGAACGTACTGTAAGGCATTGGTTTTGAAAATTCAAGTGGATGACCACAGGTCTTGAATGACGGAGTCCTGAAGGCGGCCATTGAAGAGGACAGTAGTCTAATGTGTGTTGAACTTGCAAGACAGTTCAACGTTTCCGATGAAACAGTTAGACTTCACCTGCACCGCCTAGGTAGGACATACAAACTGAGCAAGTGGGTTCTGCAAACACTGTTGGAGGTCCACAAGGGAAAACAAGTGGCATACCACATCCTTATTCAATCGAGTGCTTACCAGTGATGAAAAGTGGGTTCTGTACGAAACTCCCAAGCGTTCCAGACATTGGTTGACTCCTCAGGAAGCTGTCCCTCACACCGCAAGACCACCTATGCACCCATGCAAGATTATGCTTTGTGTCTGGTGGACAGGTCGTCAAGTGGTTCATTATGAACTGCTACCAATAGGCCAAACGGTCACTGGAGACCTATACTCGCAGCAATTGAAACGTGTGCAACAGGCATTGCGCCAGAAGGAGCCAGCACTGGTGAATCGCAAAAATGTGCTTTTCCTCCATGACAACGCTAGGACGCATGTCGCGCAAGTGGTCAGGGATAACATACAGCAACTTGGGTGGGAGACTTTGTGCCATCCACCTTATTCACCTGACCTTGCGCCATCCGATTACCACCTCTTCCACTCCCTGGATAATCATCTTTGTGGGAAATCCTTCACCAATGAAGCAGACTTGCGCAAAGCCCTCATGGACTTCTTTGCGTCAAAACTCCCCGAGTTCTACCGCAAGGGCATTGAATAGCTGGAGACACGTTGGCAGAAGGTGCTGGATGCCGATGGCAATTACTTCGAAGTCTAAATATAAGTTACACATACTGTGAAGCGTTTTCTTTTTTTCCTTTAAAAACGGACAGAATTTTTTTGGTTACCTTGTACAATACAAAACCCTAATTCCTATATTATAAAATAGGTGTTTTTATATGTAAGTGGGTAAGTAGGTGACACCTGGGGACAACTTCCACATCAATCTAACAATTCTTACTCCTACCATCCAACTCTCCAATCATCTACACATTCCAAGATGTGCCTGGCAATATGCACAGATGGCATTGGAACTATGTGATAGACAAGTCTGTTCACCGCTAAGGGTGGGCTAGAACTATCTCCCTCGATCCCAAGCATGACCTTAGACCAGCAACTGGATACACTATATCCAGTTTTGTTGTCACTTGACCACCAAAAGACTCTATCCACACATTTGCGCTTCTGTTCCCCTTCAGTCAAAGTGGATTCCATTTAGAACCCATTCACTATCCATAAAACAGAAATATTGAGAAATCACACTTTGTTCTTCAACATGGGTGTCCTAGACATACTGTCACAGATCCCTACGGATTCATCTGTGATTTGCCATAACTTCTTGAGAAAAAATAGCTGGGTAGAGTTAAAAAGTGTTACTTGAGGCAACAGAGATGTGGTTCTGCAGAAGGATGCTAGGAAACATGATTTTACACTATCAATATTATGAACAGGACACCCTTCTAAAATGATAAAAAGAACAAAAGCTGTTTTTTATTCTAATGAGTGCCATGGACTATGGAAAGTCTAAGAAATTATTTTACCCCAAAAGTTTTTCCCTATTTTTTATGAGTGGACCACTATATTTAAGTAGTACCTCATCTTTAAGCACAGTTGCTGGTTATCTAGATTTTATAAATAAAGCTGCATTAAGAATAAAAGATGTGACATACAACTGAAGATGGCAAGAGAAGTCACAAGGGAAAATACAAGGCTAAAAACAACAAAGATGGAGATACCTGTGTAAATAATGTAGAGAATAAGTAAAGCTACTAGCACTGAACTACATTTGAAAAAGCAATGTGAAACATTTTCAATATCAACTGCAGGCAAAAGACATTTGGCTGACTTACTTTTCGTTTTTCTTCTTCTGATCTTGCATCACTTCGAACATTAGCCCAGGGTACATCATCAGGCCACCATACTGGCCGATATTCTGCTTTACCCCAGCCCGGTTTACTGCGACCTGTTGAATATTTTAACATTTCGGGGATAAATGCACGAAGCTGCGCCTATAAAAACAAATAAAAATCATTGTCAGTTATTAAAGGTTGATTTTTCCTTAGAGTCATGGAAAAATATCTAGAAAAGTACAAATTAGGAAGACAGAGAAGAAAAATGGGGGAAAGTGTTTATGCCATCACCGATATCAATTATAGAGCATCTTTTTGTAGATGAACCCAAATTTATTTATATATTTATTTTATTTAATGGTGAACACAGCAATTTATGTTGGATCACTCTGTGAGTGCTGCTTGTATCATGTAACACTACCTGCTGCATGGTCTGGTGAATTTCCTGGTTCCCTTGTTAGGCTTTTCTGGTAAGGATGGTAGCCAGATGCCCAGCAGGATTTAAAACAAGACCTGTTTTAATGAACCTTCTTGTAGAGTCAATGGCTATCTAGCAAAATGGAGCAGACTGGGCTGCATATGCTGCCAGTGTGGTGATGGAAATGGTATCACTGAGCAGAGGTCTTCCTAGACTGAAGTCAACAGCCTAGGCAGAGAGGTCACTTGATGGAATCAACAGTCATGAGCTTAGCAACTCTATGACTATATCCTGTCATGAGACTAATGATGATGATGAACATGACAATACACCTGACAGCAATCTATGTAACCTTTCAGTAAGAAAGGAAATCCATAGACATTACATGAGAAACTGATAATGTGTATGTACAATTTTGCCAGCCAAGAAACTAGTACTTCTGCAGTGAGTAGTCAGAAATGCCATTGTATAAAAATAGCGTGTGTTTGTAGGATGCATAATAGTATCTGAAACAAAAATGATGATGATGATGAGATAAAATAGAAAATTTATTAATAACAAGTGTTGTCAGTGCATCTGCTCTCTTTGGCTTCCTCGGGTTAGAATGAAAGAAAAACAAAACTATATGTTCAGGAAAATGCCTTGGGATCTCTGAGAATATATAGTAATCATAAATCAAATTAAATTAGATACTGTATCACCTCAAATATCCAGATTTAAGACAGCATCTGCCTGTTTGTTTATCTATATCAGAGGTGTTTTGTGTGGTTGCATTTTAAATTAGTCCACCGAAACTAGAGTGTTTGCCATGTGGACATCTTAATGCTTACTTTTTTTTTGGTGTATTCTTGTACATACATGTACACATATACATGCTTATACAAATATACATACACACATGTACACATTGTAGAGACTTTTTATGTATACTTGTGTACAGAAAAAAGATATAGTCTATAAAATATAATAAACAAAATTAGTGCCTTCTCCCCTGTTAAATAAAATTATTGATAAAATTTTCAGAATGTACACAAAGCCCCAATTTTTTGTTTACAAAAGAATTAGCCAAGTATAGCAATAGGGGGCACAGTGGAGTAATGGATAGTGGCTCAGATTGAGGAATCAGAGAGCCGAGTTTGAATTCCAGTCGAATCCATTACATTCACTTACATGCTAATACTCTTGGGAAAGGTAATAATCCTCTTCTTCTCTCTCCGGCTATGGGTAAATAGCAGGACAGACCGGGTTCTATAGCTTTGGATGGCAACTGGTCTACCGCAGAAAGAAATGGCAACCTACTACAGGAAAAAATCTGCCTCATCAATCATGTATCAAAAGATACATGATCACCTTAAGTGTGTATCACACATGGCACATAACTAACTGATAGCAATACATTTTTTTTAAAGCGCCACATCCCTACAGGACAGAGGCAATCATGGCTCTTCACAGATTCTTTTTCTTAATTCTTTGCAAATAATCATGCCTCCTGGTTTCCTATTGCCTTTTCCACACTTTGTAACTCAGAGTAAGCCACCTCTGAGACTAGCTGCTACCCAAGGCTAGAGAACTCAGTCTAACCTGCTCACAGCTAGAGGGAAGAAGAGGAATTCCTGCCTTTCCCAAGTGCATTAGTGCGAAAGAGACTACAATAGACTTGGCTGAAATCTTAACTTGGCTCACCAATAACACTTTCTGATGCTGATAATTGTTACATTACCTGCACATCCCAAATACTCACAATACATCACTGAAATTGTAATTACAAATGCTTAGGTGGTTTGTTAACAGACTCAGTTCAGCATAATGAAACATGATTATCAGAAGAATGGACATCACTCAAAGGAATCAATGACTTTCACAGAGGTACAATAGCTTCAACTTTATTCTGCACAGTACTTAAGTTGGAATCTTCACTGGCACTTATGTTGTTATCTGATGCAAGAATGACATTTACTACAAATTGCAGGATATGAAGAAAGAGATATTTTTGTTTGAAATACGTAGTGCATCATCAATGATGAGTAAGATAAAAATCAAAAACAGTATTTCTCTTAGTTGGTGGTTAGTGTCTTTTGAGAAAAGATTATTCAAAATGCTGTAGTCACAGCTGTTTGAGGGTTTCAATAGCCCCACTAAGCTTATAATAAAGTCAATTCAGGTTTGCTATGGTAAAAATTTTCTATCCTAAGTATAAATCATCACAAAAATAGCAAGTTTTAGTTCATTATCTGGCCAACTATTAGTCATAACCCTATGAAAGTAGGTATATTCTGGAAGCAAACAATATTTTCTTTTATTTACAGGTAAAATTGTTTACTGTAAATAACTCAAAATTTTTTCATGGGGTAAAATGTGAAAAATAGTGAAAATTTTCCATTTTTTTTTTTGTTCTAAACAAAAATTTCCCCCAATAACAGGAAATTAACCAATTTCTTTTGAAAATCAGAAAGCATAAATCATAATTGGAAACTGTCAACTGAATGCCAATTTCCAAAATTTTTTCTTTCAAGTTTGTGGGACACAAATCATTTTGAGGTTGTGTGACAAAACACAAACTGTCACCAAAAAGGTGCTTAACAGCACAAGGCATCAAAGGAGCAAATGCAGACCAGTCAAGAATTTTTGATTTTTAGAACAAACTTTTTTTTTTTTTCAAATTGAATGTTTTTATGACAAATATTATTTTTAGATTTTACAAGAAAAAAAACTTCAATGAAGCAGATGATGATCCTGCTTGAATCAAGTCAATGCAGCCTCACACTGAGTTAAGAGCATCTGAATGCAGATGGTTCATTCAGGCAAGAACAAACACCACCTCTGTAAAAGTCATTGCAAGTTTTACACTTTTTGGAAACAGGGACAACAACAGACCTATCCACTTCACCTTTAAGGGCATGCTTATGTATTAACAACTCTTGTTTTAAATCAGGGTTGTTTTTTAAACATATCCCCAGTTTTATTTTAAAAAATAAATTAATAAATAAATAACTCAACTGCACTTTTATTTTGAGGGTCACCGGCCTGGGTGACAAAAACGCTAGCAAACGACACTGTTTTTTTCGCTATACACCTTTCATATTTCCCATCACTGGGTCATATAGTAGTTCATTTTATTCAATGATATTCACACCAATGTAAAGACAAAGGATTAAAGTTTGAAAAAAAATTGTTTTGAAATAAAAAAAATTATTTTTTAAATAAGAAAATGTGATTTTTCATAGAAAATTGGCCATAATTTTTTAATGCTAAGAAGGGTCTGTAATGAAATCAATCCTGGCCAGGCATCTCGACTTCCTCACTGACGTAACATGGTTTCCCTATGTCTTTTCTAGGAATATTTTCATCACAACTGTTCTGATGAGCTTTTTTTTCCCTGGTGCTCTGGCTACATGAATTTAAGTGTGGCAACTAGGTTTCACCGTTTTACTGTGAAACTAGCTAAATGCAACTGCCACTTCTACTCTAACAGTTTCTTTTCTCGCACTTCACACTGGTGGAACTCTGTTCCAATATCTTGCTTTCCTAATAAATACAATCTTCAAAAATTTAAAAGTAACATCAATCAACATTTTCCGTCTTCTTGAATCCTGTTCTTTTTTTTAAATCCTTTCCTCAATGATCTCCACCAAAGTCTTCTCATTCTATTTCATTCCCTGTATCTCCCAGCATTCTAGTAGTGCATTATTGCCTTGGGGCAAAAATGATTTTAAAAAATATCAAACATTTAAAGAAAGACCTCAAATCATATACCCTTCAATGACATTAATATAATGGAGTAAATTAACAATTATTTTATTTATGGAAAATATACTCTCATTTTCTTATTAGACATTACAAAATTACACTGATATTCTTATCTGATGCATTCAGACTGTCAAGAGTTAGGACTGGTTTCTTGTTTGTAAATGATCTGCTGGGACTAGATCTCAGGTGTGACACACACTTAACAGCTTTCAATTATGAAGATCAATATATAGATTTATCTACTACACTGGCCATAAATTGCAGGACACGAGAAAACAAACTCAGATATTTTTGCTTCTAATGCCTAGTGTGTCATTGATGAGGAGTAAGATAAAAATCAATAACAGTATTTCTCTCGGTCAATTACTATTGTCATAAAATAATCATATTGCATTTTGGTGAAAGTCAGTAGAGAAAATCTGAGAAAAGATTATTCAAAAGGATTTTGACTAAAATCAAATCTTTAAAAGATTCACATTTCAGAAAAATGTATACATTACTAGTTTTCTCTTACTGTTTAACAAGCTGCAAGGTATTGGAATTTAAAAGATGAGAAAAATCTTCAATTTTGGAGGATAAGAAGTGGCATTGACATAATATTAGAAAGTCATTTATAGCTCAAATTTAAATCTTTTGGGTTATTTTCAGATATTTTTCTTTTGTCTTCATTAAAACAGAACCTGACAAAACTAGATAAAGCTATTTATAGTGTCATGCTCAGGCACATAATTCTTTAAAGGGGGTTAGTTTCTATGTCACCTCTGTGGAGACAAATTCATTTGCTCTAGATTTAAACACAGACTTTTAAGACACATATTTGGCATATCAGCAAATGTTCCGAATTTGAAGATACCTGGTCTAAAGGCTTATACTTATACCCCACCGACTGGTTAAGAAGCACAGTGGCCACAAATTGCAAGGTATGAGGAAATAGAGTCAGACATTTTTGCTTGTAATGCTTGGTGTGTCATTGATGATGAGTAAGATAAAAACTACTAACAGTACTTCTCTTGGTTGGTTACTATTGCCTTAAAAATCATATTGCATTTTAGTGGCAGTCAGTAGAGAAAATCTGAAAAAAAGATTATGCTACAAGAGAAGCAGACTGATTTTTGCTAAATTGAAATTCATAACTCTCTATTAGTACTGTAGGGCATTTTACATGCTCCACAAAGCATTTCTCTTTAATATTTAACAAGTAGTAAGTCAAAATTTCTTGTTTAGTTAAGTAGCTTTTTGAACACATATGTTGAGTAACTACATGGAGTTTCTATTTTTAGTCATAACTAGCAGTAGAGCCCGGCGTTGCCCGGGATATAACAGTAAGAGATAGATCAAGTATCTACCATCATAAAGACTGAAAAATAAAATTGACAAAGATTATTGTTTAAGGTTGACGGACACGCAGAAACAAAAACATTGTTTTCAATCGTTATGAGTCTCTACTGATTGAATAGAATTTTATTATAAACAATTGTCTTGTAAATGGAATTTTTAAAGCATTCTGAATGTTAAAAATAAAGAAAAAAGTGTGCAAGAGAATAAGAAACACTACCTGCCAAAAAAAAAAAAAAGAAAAGTGAAGTTTTGTTTCATCGGCTGAAAAATATAGGAAATCCGCTCCCATATTTAAAGGAACCCACACACACAAACAACCCGATGTGAGTTGTCCCCCTTTCATTTTCACAATGTCTCTTAATCATGTTTTCAAATTGATTTTGTGCAAAAACAATTATATTTTTCCCATTTTTGGTGCTGTTAGAACCACCACAGGGTAATTTTATGTAGTCCTGTGAAGTTTTGTTGAAATCAGTTGAAAAATGTAGGAAATCCGATCCAATATATAAACGTTACAGACACACACACACACACACAATCTGCGTTTTATAATAAGTAAGATATTTGTGCAAATTACAAGCACATGATTATAAAATAAAAACTGTCTGTAATCATTGTGTTTGAAACAAATGCAAATATCACAGTAACCAGAGCTGGTGAAAGGGCCCCATGTTCCCCCCACAACCAAATCTATGATACTCCCCACTCTTCTACATCTCAATTTTCACACGTTAGTATTCATATAAAATACAAATTTTATTGTAACCTAATTATGTATAATAATGAATCATATGCAATATAAGTGAATAATTCAACTAGAAAAAAATTAAATAAATACACTGTATCTAAATACAAATTAGAGACATGTCGTAATAGATCATTTCATCTTAAATAAATCAACAATGTTTTGCAGTAATTTAAGATTTTTCTTGTTAAAGAGTTGAATTTTATACAGTGTTTTTTTTTAGACTTAGCATGATCAAAACAAATTTATGGATGACAAAAAAAGACCCCAGAATGATGTAAAACTCTGCAAAAATCTGATTGTTTGACATAAATCCTCCAAGTGATGACGACCACATTAGAATAGAGCAGCGTTTCCCAAAGTGGACACTTGAAGTTCAGGGGCTTTGTAAATCTGTCTATTTTTTTCATGATATAATGAGGACTGTGCGAAAAAAGAGAGAAAGAACACTATTTTTAAACACAAAATAGAAATTTCCTACAGAAACCCCAACATGCCAAAAAAAAAAAAAAAATAAAATAAATAAATAAAATGAAAGAAATTGCTAAAATCTTTTCTGTGAGAAAATAATTAACAAATGCATTTGTATAATATCTTGTGTTTGATATTCCACAGGTGGCACTAAAATACATGTGCAGAAATAGGCTAAATGCAGAGAATGATATGAGGCTACATCAATCATGCCCGACTTTGAAAAGTTTTGTTCCTTGAAACAACAACTGCACTTTAGTCATCAAGTTTGATTTCAGTTTTCATAAGCATTAAGTGCTAAAAGTAAATTTATTCTTTTTATTCGTGAAAAACTTTTATCCTGTCCAAGAGCTCCATGGCACAAAGAAATTTGGAAAACCCAGAAACAGAGCAACATCCACTAATCAATCAGCATTGGAAATGAAATAATAGTTCATGTAGAGTAGCAGTCAACAGCAGAGTGTGTATTGAATGTAATGCATCCTGTACAACAAGCACCAAAGCATTGTGATTTGTCTATAGCAGTTACTGTACTCGAAGTCAGTTCCGACATCAGTCATGGTAACATCAGGATCTTGGAAAATCCGTTTTTTTAGTATTTGTTTCTTTTTCAACAGGTCACAAAACAAGGATAAAAAGGTTTTTATCAACACGTTATGACATGGTCAAAAGTAGGTCTTAATGCTCTAAAAAAATTCCAGAAATAAAATTCATGATCTGAATGGTTACAAGGATCAATCATCTATACAATGTAGAACCCCAAACTACCACTAGTTACAATGAAGGGATGTCCTTTTGGGAGGCTTTGTGGTTTGAGAGACTATTGGGCCTTAAACTCACCTCTGAACTCAAGTGAAATTCATACACACAATCCATTACTAAAGATGCAGGTAAAATGATTAGATCTCTGTACCGCTCCAGTAAGTACCTGAGTCTGCATACTATTCTCTACAAGAGCCAGATCAGACTGTAAATGGAGTATTGTTGTCATACTTGGGCAGGAGCTGCACAGTCCTCACTTTCCAGTCCCATTAGAGTCCAAAAATGTCTCCAAGTCATTGTGGGTGATACATTATTTTCCACCCTCCATCCTCTTTCTCACAGACAAGATGTGGCAACCCTGTTTCTGCTCTGTCATTACTTCCATGTAAAGTGCTCTTACAAACTGCATTCCTTGGTTCCACGAGTTCAAACCTTTGCAGCTAGAACCCACCACACCACTTACATTGTAGCAAAGCACCCTCATTCCCGCTGTATTCCATTGTGAGAAGTAAGTTCCACTTGAACAGCTTCTTCCTGCAAATCACTGCTCTGTGGAACCGACTCCCTAGAGGATGTCTCCCCTGATCACTACAACCTTGACCTGTTCAAGCCAAGGGTTAACCGTTACCTTTCCTCTTATCTGCATAAACTGCCTCTTACTCAAGGGGCCCCTGGGGCTTGTACAGGGTGAATCTCAGTGTAGAAAAAAGAAAAACTTTTCTAGACATTTATATCCAGGCTTATTTTATCTGGAAGAATAACTATTCAAGCGGAATATTCCTCATTTCCTGGCTACATGATACATTGATATACTAACACCTCTGTAATAGCCAGAAGAGTGATAATTAAAGGAGAATAATTCGTTTTCCAGCTGCATATACAAGTGCGATGGGTAAATTGTCGCTATTTTATATTTTTAATTTCACGTATGCGCATTGTTTATTTTTGATTTTGTTGACTACACAGTATAGTAGGGTCAGTTGGGCACCATGACACAATTCACTCTACCAGAAATTTTGAAACGACATGCTGTACTGCTTGGCCTTCATGCCAGAAGTTCAAATACAAACATTTCAGAGTGTCAATCTGAGGAGAGTACAGAGGATTCGGAAAAAAGTTGGATGAGTCTAATGGTGATTACAAAGGCGTTTGGAGTGATCACTAGTGACTGCAATGTTATGCTTCCATTCATCTTTCCATAGGGCCTCAGTCTCAATACAGAGGCCTACATTAAGTGCCTTGAGGAGGTAGTGCTGCCCTGAGTCAAGAGGGTGGCTGCTAGAAGAACCCATGTCTGGCAACAGTTTCTGCACCATACCACACAAGCAGGAGAACCTTGTCATGTCTGTCAGAAAATTTGTGCGACCACATCACCCCTTACAACTGGCCACCTAACTCCCCAGACTGCAACCCCCTTGATTATTATGTATGGGATGCAGTTGAGCATTAGACCAATGAAACTCCTTGTAACACCAAAAATGAACTGAAGGCCAGGATTATGGCAGCATTCACCAACTTAAACAAGGGGTTATTTAATGCCGACAACATTTTTAGGATAGATTCGTATGAATAGAGTATGTATTCTTTGGTTTACATTGGTTTGGTTTATTTTGTTTTATGGCATATAAACCTCAATGGATTATTTAATACTGACAAAAATTTTTATTGCTGGTAATATTTTGTTTTGTCAAAAATTTCTTTCTGGTAATATATTTCCTTCAAAATTGTATTGTTGGTAATAATTTTTTTCAAAAAAGTATTGCTGGTAATAGTTAACTATTTTCCCATAGCTGGGACACTAACAGGTGCTACCACCCTAGGTCAGGGTGGACCTGGAAACACCAGCAATTAAGAGATGGTTCCTCAAAACCTCTTGATCAGAGGCCTTGCTCCTGGACGTGGTTTAACATCTTACCCAGGACACTATAACATAAGAAAGGCTGGGTTATGTTTTAAATAAAATTTTATATATGCTGAAAAAGGGCATACAAAATTATTAGTATTGCTGTGTTAGTAAATCAATATCAAGTAAAAATGACCAGTCACTTACCTGAGTCATTTTATCAACAGGTGTTGGGATGCCATCAATAACAAGGCGAGGAAGTTTGTGCAAGTTTGGGTCTTCCTGTTGGGATGGTGGTGCTTGTTGTGCAAGTGCCGATTCCAAATCTTGCATGATAATTCCTTTTGAATTCCTCACCTGGCCACAAAAAGTGAAAAAAAAAAAAAAAAAAGAAAGGCAATTTAATAATATTGTGACTATTTAGCTGGGTTAATTTTTGCAGTTCTTTATATCAAAATATTATATTTAGTACTTCAATTAAAGAAAGTTACCTGATACCAGACTCCACGCAATAATTTCTTATTTACTTGGCATTTTCAGGTACAAAAATATACTAATAATGTCTGGTGTCTGATCAAGAGTCACACCATGAGTGTCTGAGTTGGGCGTCAGAAAGTGCATCCTACCTTGTAAAAACTTTGCCTCAAATTATTATGACAATTCTCAGTATGTTGACAGGTGTTATGTGGAGAAATAAACTAAGATCCTCTGTCAGGCAGGATCAATGTTGCTTTGTGCAAAGATTAATCCTGGTCCTGCCACAACAAAAAACATGGCTCTGATCATGATAAAAAAAGGGAGGGGGTTATAAAACTACACTCAAATGATTAGTCATTCATTGTAATGGGTTTGACCATAATTTTGACTTATTGCAGCTTTAATTAAATAAGAAAGTAACTTATTACAGTGAAAATGTATTTAAAGTGCACTAATTTCAGTCCTCCACAAAATTATGCCCAGATTCATAGAAAATATGTCCTTTCCAAACAAAACAACTGTTGTTACAATGTTGAATACTTAAAGACAATAGTGATAAAAGTAAAAGCTATAGAAAGCTGAATACAGTTAGGTTGGTAAGTGTTGTAGCATACCTACGGACAATGATGGGTATGTCCCCATTCACATGAATACAGTAGTAAATACTGTATGTTGGTCTGCAGTTGGAGATTCATTGTGGAATTCACTTGACTCACTTCTAGCAGTTGACTACTACTTCTACATGCCAATGGTGAATCTTATATGTGTTGTTCTTGTCCTAAGTATTATCGTTCATTACCAACCTTCGTATGATTCTTCTCTTCAGTAACCTTAGGTTATAACAGTAAGGCATCTAGAACAGCAGACACCAAACATTTAAAATTAAAGTTAAATGTTTCTTGATGTAAAATTGTAAATGGCATTTGCTGTATTTCTAACCACCCACATTATATATATATATATATATATATATATATATATATACACACGACATATCATCAATAAAATCATTATCAGTGTGAAGAAATCCTTCCAAGAGACATAAGAGATTTTGTAAAATAATGCCATCCAGCAGACTTGTTAATCTTAACTCATATTAAAGACATGCCTCTCAGCAGAGATCAAACCTGTGTTCTCTTGACAGCTCAGCCACGAGAGACCTCACAGCAAAGAATGGCTCAATTACCATTTTTTATAAAATTCATATCTCTCGTTAGCCTATATCTACTCAGTTCTCTGATTTCGTGTTACAAAACATTGATTACTCCACCCACCCACGGCATTCCTAAGTGATTACTCATCTATGTACTAAGTTCAATGTTGTTTAAATTAGGTGATTGGATGAGAAGCAGTGTTTCAATGTGATATGGCTGTTAACATGTGTCTATATATATATATATATAATACTGAAAAAGTTAATGGTCAGAGTTAGATTAAACCAGGAAACAGTAATATTAAAAAGTACTCAATGCATGTGTAAAGATTAAAAATAAAAATTTAACATGTAGAGGTTTTACATTTATTTTATATATATATATATATATATATATATATATATATATATATTAGTACCCACAATGGGGTGCATGGTTACTTGAACCTATATATTCCCACCATGGGGGGGGGGGTATTGTAGGTTCTAGTGAAAATTTTAAATACTGATTTTCAGAGTAGACAAACTATCCCCACATAATTTCTTATGTATAATATAAGAAATTTTGAACAAAAATTAAAGGCAAAAAAGTGGTATTCTACTATGCACAAGTACATATTTTCAGAAATTTTTACTCAGCTTAAAAAACCTCATATTTGAAACAAGATTGCAAATACACCAAGTTAGCACAATAGATAATAAAACACAAAATAGTCAGGTGTTTATAACAGTTGTTTACAAAAGGTATTTGATAAGCCAGCAAAACTTGTTCTTTGAGAATTGGTACAATTGAACATCTTTTGTCTTAAAGACAAGAAATTCTCTGATGTTGATTAAAAAAAATTAATAAAAAAAAGGTATACACAAGATCTGTTATGTCTTGATATTAATGTTACAACAGGTCACCTTTCCTAGAAAATTCAAAAACAAGTTTTGAAATGGAAATTTGAAGAAACATGCAATGGCTAAATATTTCCTATTCTTTAATATTGTGAAAAATTAAATATATGTGAGACATTGAGATTTTAATGAATAAAATGGTACAACTTAAAAAAAAATTACAAAGGTATGGCTGTTCTACAGGCTCATATTATACTCAAGGATGTAATTTATTCCTTGTTTTTAACTTCAGAAACACAGGGTTGTATTATACACAAGTCATATTGTACACAAGAAGATACAGTACATTTGTTCAAGTATTGCCTAAACTAAGAAAATGTGTCCACACCATGTCTGTGTGTGTGTAAATTAATTTTTAAAAATCACCTTTATAAATGCAGAAATAAACATCTAATTTTTGAAGGTAGAGAAATGAGAAAAAAAAAAAATATGGAAACAGCTGGCCATCATTTCCAAGGGATGTTTAACAATACCACAAATAAATAAGAGACACAGAGGCTACAGAAAAATTTAAACATACAACAGTTTCTAAAGGCTGTGATCCAAACACTTTGAAAGACTGGTAATTCTGATTAGGTTTCCCTGGAGTGCAGCAGAGAACCACAGCTTGCTGGCCAACACGTGTTGAATATTCTTCAATAATAGCTCGCAACTTTCTACAAAGAAACAAAACAAAAAGATATTTTAACTCTCATTATTTAGAAATGTTTAGTTATTACAAAACAACTGTTCATTCAAACTAAATTCAAATCCCCTTTGAATGAGTTTCAAAATAATAAATAATATATAATAATAATAATAATAATTAACTAAGAAAACAAAAAAAAATTTTACCTGAGAAGTCTCGTCTGTTGTCGTCGTCGTATGGATGGATTTGTTTCAAAACTGTGCATCCGTCGTCTTTTTCTACTTGTTGCAATTGCAGCTGCAGCAGCAACACCAACTGGGCCTATAATTAGAAAGATACATATTCTTTATATATTCACACACACACACACACAGTGAGGGGAAAGAAATGTTCGTACACCACAAATTTTTTTATTTAACATAGATTTTATTAAAGAATTTTATAATCCACACAATATTTGTATACCATGGCATAATATTGCAATATGCAAAAAAAAATTCAGAAAAATTTGTTATGTTAATGAAATTATATAAATTAAAAAAATTAGGATGCGAAAAAAGTATTTGTACAAAATTATAATACCTATTTAATACTTTGTAGTATATCCCTTACTAAATTCAACAGCAATCAGTCTCTTTCTTTAGTTTTTAATCAATGATTTGCAAGTTTCCATTGGTGTTTTACTCCATTCTTCTTTGCATATTCTCTTTAGGTCCAGGATGCTTTTCGGAACTTTTTTATTAACTTGAATTTCTAAGAAACGCCACAAATTCTCTATTGGATTTGAGTCTGAAGATTGTGATGGCCATTCGAATATATTGACATTGCTTTCAATAAGCCATTTATTCATAGATTTAGCCATATGTTTAGGATCATTATCTTGTTGCAAAACCCATTCATTTGAGAGTCCAAGCTTTACTACTGACCCAAACATATTAGTGTCCAAAACATCTTGGTATATTTTTGAATTCATTCTACTATCTATTATTTCTAAATTACCTGCACCATTAGCAGGAAAAAATCCCCAAATGGCACACCACCACCAAATTTCACAGTTGGAATTATGTTCTTTGGTGTAAACGCTGTGCTGTCTTTTCTCCAAATGTGGGTCCTTGACACCCAAATAGTTCAATTTTTTCTTCATTTGTCCATAAAAGACTTTCCCAAAATGATTCATGTTTATTCTTATGCTCATGAATAAATTTTAACTGCACATCCTTGTGTTTCTTCAATAGTAGTGGAGTTTTTCTTGGAGAACGCGATCTTAGCTGACTTCTGTGAAGTTCATTGCTTATTGTTTGCTTCATAACAATAATACCTGATGCTCTTAATTCTTCCTGTATTTCTTTCTGAGTAGTCACTGGATTTTCTTGAATTTTGCACTGAATTTTTCTCATTGATCTTGGAGAAATCTTGTATGGTGCCCCAAATCTCAATTTGTTCTCATCAGTTTTCACCTTTTTATACTTAGCAATAATGGAACTAATAGTAGTAAATGGTATATTCAGGATATCTGCTATTTTCCTACATGTTTTGCCTTCCTTCCAATGTTTGATGATCAATTCTTTTTGCAAAGTTGATAGTTCCTTGCCTTTCCCTATGATGATAATTATTGTGTACTAGCAGTAAAACCTGGCACTGCCCAGGAGTAAACTTCCTCTGAATGGAAGATCATAACTGCCATACTCATTTCGTACACGCATGTAAGGCTGAAGTCTAGCAGAACTGATGGCCACCTACGTAAAAAAAAGCAAAGTACACAAGCACAACGAAAGAAAAAATTGTAAGGCTTAAAAGGAAGCAATGGACAGCCATGGTAGCATCAGCCATTTGCCATTACTAAGACACATCCAATTAAAAGTTGTCAAGTTCAATATGAACACAGGCCTTAGGAAGTTTTTGGTGAGTTGTGGCAGATGGCTTTGTATTCCGATGAGGTGGTTTTATTATCCCTGAGTGCAAGACATTACATGAGAGCCCTGTGTCATTTGCAACGTAGTAAAACACAATAGTGTGAAAGGTAGATGCATCTTTTGCCTAAAAGACGGCGATGCTACTACTGCAAACAGAATCACATAACAGAAGTATGGGAAGGTGCTGGTGCGAGTACTTGTAAGTGGCACAAATTTTTTTTTAGTTTTTAATAGTCAGTTGAGGCGAGCATGAAGCACATATAGCATTACCTAAAGCAGCCCTTATGGTAAGAGGAAACGGCAGAGAATGCATATTATAACTCTGCATGCTGCTATTCTTTTATTATCCCGCTACTTTTTGCTGAGGCCTGAATTGCATGGACGCACTCAACTTCTTTGACAATTAAACGAATCCACCTTCGCGTGTATTGGTTTTGTGTTGCAACTGAATATGGTTATGTGGTACATTGCGTTTAAACATGACCGACCATGGGCTATAGGACTTCTGCATAGGTAATATTTTTAGCTTTGTTTGTTGGAGAGTAAACGTAAACATTATCCTTACTCCCGACTCAGGAACAGCCTTAAAGCTGTCCATGGGTGAAACACTGTTCACCTAAATGCAGACCGATGATGCTGAGTGTCTGTTCTTGCGATTTGGCCATTGTTGTTGAGCTGTCCTCGTCGTACCCCAGGGCTTTCTGAAGCTCTGGCAGACACAATAGATCTGGAATTCCTCAAACGACGATTAGGGGTCTGCACAGGACTTTTTAAAGCTCTGGCAGATGCAGTAGCGCTGGCATTTCTTAAACGACAAATAGCAGTTTGTTGTGAAACCCTGGAAGATGCTGTAGCCCTAGCATTCCTAAGACGACTCGAAGTGGTTTGTTCGGGGCTTTCTAAAGCTCTAGAATATGCTGTAGCACTGGCATTCCTTAAATGCCAAAGGATTGTCTGTGTTGGGGACTCGGAAGCCTTGGCCCTAGAAATGTGTATTGCGTCCTGTTCCTGTGATTTCTGTACTAAATGCTCTTCAGTTGAAAGTCTAGCACATCATGATAACATAACTGATGCCAGCCTTTCAGTCCATTCAGTGGTACTTTCCATGGAGATGTGGGCAGCAGAGCATGAGGCCATCTGAAAGACACAACAAAGTTTGCTCTGTGGTTTCACTTGCCCTTGCTGCTCTTGTAGCAGAGGCAGCACCCATGCGTCGTCCAAAAAGTTTTCTTCTCTTAGGCGGCATTTTAACCAATTTTAAAAAGGAAAGCATAATAAAAGGTATGTAGGCTTTTTGGGTGCAAAAAATACGTGTAGTCTAAACGTAGGCAGTTAGAGGGATCCCAAAAATGTATGTAATTGTATCAAAAGGGGAGCGAAGACAAAAAAAAAGTAAAGTTTAAAAAATTCAACTAAAGCTAAAATGGTAGTAGGTAATTTGGGAAGTAAATTCGATAAATGCGGAAATGGATGTAGTTATAACTAAAAAGTAAAAAAAAAAAAACAGTTTGGATACATAATCAACAACTTGTGGTTTCCGTAAGAAGCGAATGAAGTGAGCCAAGTGCAAGTTATGGTATAAAGAGGTGGTTGGCCAGTTGACCTTGAGCGCATATACTAAGGTGACATACGTACGCACGTGCACATGCTTACGCAAGAGAACTGCTCACACATATGATTGGATGGGCCCATGGTTAAACGCTTATATCTCTGCCAATGAGCTCACAGCAACCTTGAACAGTTGACGCAATTGATTAACCTCCAGCTGGATTAATCAAAGCAGTGCACAGTGGCAGATGACGTTTCAAAATAGTATCTGGTGAGTTTATTGTATCAGGTTTTTTATTGATAAAAATATGAAAGTTATGTAGTTCCTTATCCCAAAATAGGCATTGCCTTTTTGATTTATGTCATCACTGATGTAGCACAGTCTCTCAAAGTCAGCCAATCAGGAAACGGGATTTTCAAGCTTCATCTTTCTTTGAAAAGCAGCCAGGAGATATCACGTAGTTTTATCGATCAAAAGTTGAAAATACAAGCGTTTTTACACTTCTTACAAACAAAATTTGAAGCAATGTTAATTTTGTTTACTGGTGGATGATGAAGGCATTTAAGTAGCACAAATTTAGATGAAAATGTGTGAGAACTTTTTGAGGCAGCGATGCACAGTAGTAAAATGATACCAAGTAGGTGCCTTTTTCTACATGTAAATGGCATGAAAAGACATAACAGTCCCCCAGTGTCCTCTCAAATGAAAAAATGCAATCAAATGTGAAAAATTGGAAATTGGTGGGGAGCTGATTCTGTCCACTTGGCTTAAAAGTGGTGGTGTAAAGTGGCATGAAATGTGTTAGTGATTGCTCACTGAATTCAATCCTATGCTTTATTTTAGCCTGCAGTAGATTGCACAAATCACAGGACTTCAGAAACTGCAGTCAGTTTTTTCTTCTGATAAACACATCCTGATGAATAACCAGGCTGCTGAGGATAGGGTTTTTTTTTATTTTTATCAAATCACCATCTCTAGAGTGGTTGTACATCAAGGCTAAGAGAGTTTCTCTCTGCCCATTAGGACAACCTGGGATAGCTTTCAAACAGTTTCATTTAACCAATTTCATTCACAGAGCTTAGGTCAGCCTTTTTTTTTGGGGGGTTCTCAACAGTGCCACATTCTGGGATTGTTTCCCTAGGATGAAATTATCAGCTTATATATACATAAATAATAATCCCATTGTTTTTCTTACAGCTACTAGGCTTCTAAATGAATAAAAACAATATTCAGATTTTGTGACTGTGATAGAGCAATCTTATAAATAAATTTGTTGATTGGTTATTTTTTTTTTACAGTTTATCAACCCTTTGTTGGTTATTTAAAACCAAAACACATTTTTGATTGTAAGAATATTTTCTTTTTGCAAGGGAATAATATTGCATTAACAATATTTTGAGAATAACAATAATTTTTTCCTGATACAAATCATACTATTTAACCCATAGCCGGGGAAAGATATGGATTCATACATTTTCCAAGGGTATTTACGCATAAGTGAATGTAACAGATCTGACTAGAATTTCGAGCACAGATCACCAATTTATTATTCCGAGCTGCTATCCATTATATAACCTGCATGCATATCCATGCTTATAATTAAAAAAAAAAAAATAAATAAATAAATAAAAAATAACTGACCAGCTGCAGCAAGTTGGGCTGTGACGTCGTCGTTCACCGGACTGGTGAGTAAATCAGCTTCATCAAAATGGGCACTCTCTTGAGAACTGGATTCACTTATGTCATCACTCAGCATACAGGAGCTCATGGGAGATGTACTAATTGTGGTCATTCCACTCACTGCCCCTCCTCCTCCTCCTCGCACTCCCACCGAGGAAGATGTTCCCGAACTGTTCATTGGATTTCTGTAAGGCTGTCAGCACAAAGAAACATACACAAAATGAACAATTAAAACTTAATAGGAAAACAATTGTGTCACTCATAACCACCAAACACTGAATCCTTTGTATTCTTTTAAAGTTAACACACATTTTTTTTCTTTTTACTACTTAAGAATTAGTTCTTTCAACCAGAAATGGTCAAACTTGCTTAATGTCAGAACCGCATATGATAATTTCTGTCTGAATTTCTAGCATGAGGAGTTTTCATTATTTATACTATTTACATTTTGACTATTATCCTCATCTTTGTTGTTGATCATGTATTTGGCCATTGTGCCCTCTGGCCTTCATCAAGTGTATATCAAACTGGGTAGCCTACAGGGAATTCTGAATTGAACAATAACCTAGTGGATTAAAGCATTGGTTCATGAATTTGCTGATATAGGAACTGTGAGTTCAATTCCTGGAACAGGCAGTGTGTGCTTGGACTCAATGAAAACAGACAAGCAATAACTAAGCAGTGCTAAAAATAAGAACTAGATGAGATATCCCTAGACATGGGCAGTGGAACAAACGCAGTCTACCCACATAGATTAAATAAGGGTTCAGTTCAGAATTTCCTGTAGATTACCCGGATTGATATATACCTAATGAAGCCTAGAATGCACAACAGCCAATACATTGTGAGAACAACAATAAAAACAAGGACAATAGTCCTAAAGTAAATAGTGTAAATATGAGTCAATTGCCAATTAGTCAATGTTTTGCAAACCATTACAATAAATAATATAATAGTGTAAATAAACAATCTAATAAACTGTTTATTATAAAAATCTAATAAACAATAAACTGTTTATTATCATGTGTGTAAACACACATATGATAAATTTCAGATGTTTGAAAGCACAAAAAAAAGTTTTTATTGCTGCATGCATATTGTCTTATAAAATTTTACCTAGATATTGACAAATGTATGTAAGCAATGGTATTTATTTATGTGTAGTTTTTTTTTAAACAATTCAATTTAAGTTATCACAAAGTAAATACAGTGGAACCTCAATTCACAAATTTAATTTGTTCCTGAAGGCCATTAGTAACTTGAAAAGTTTGTAAACTGAAATTATTATTCCAATAGGAATCAATGTAGAGAAAAAGTCACAGTACAATAAAATTGGAAAAGAAAAGCATGGCACAACATATGAATGTATACAACATGGCAGTTGACTCAGTAATTATTCTGTTCATGTTAACTCGGTTTGGGTGTATTGTTTGAGAACTAAAATTTTGTTGTGATAACCAAGGCATTTTCATCTTAAATTTTCTGTTCAAAAACCAATTTGTTCAACATGTGAGACGTTCAAGAACCGAGGTTAATACATACTAAATATTTTCAAAATCTTGACTAATGATTCAGTTTTGTTGAAAATTGAAATGAGATGCACACTAGTTTCCTTCAGATTATATTTTATTTCTTCCAAAACTAAACTGGATACTTGAATTTATGAATCATCTTTAGACCAGAGTCCTCCTGTAATCTGAACATATTTCCACAAGCTGCACATTAAATATCAAAGAGCTCCATGGAACTTGTGAGAAGAGGTTTTTACCAAAATACTCTATAGAAATGGTTCTGTCTTTAAACAGAGAATGTAATTCAGCAAATCTTCTGGCATATAGAATAAAATTCTGTTCAGAATTCTATGGAATTTACCATTATATCTTACCAAGTTATATCTTACAAATATCTTCAATTACATCTTTGTTTGTACTTGGATTATTACATTTTATTCCTTACCTAAGTTAAAAGCAATCTAAAAATAGTGAACAAACATGGTCAAATGTGTCCACAATAAGTGCTGTAACAAAAAGACAGGGTTTTCCATGAAACCAATTTTTTTTTAACTACCTTCACTTTGGCAATGTTTATTCTTTTAAAAAGTGATGATTAGAATTGTAATAAAACCTATAAGTATGAAAATAAATTTATACATTTTCTTTGTTCTCAAGAATTGACAGCAAAATTAATAAACAGTTTATTAGATTGTTTATTTACAAGGTTATATTATTTATTGGAATGGTTGGCAAAACATCGACTAATTGGCAATTGACTCAAACTTTATAAAATGGGAAATAAGGATTTTCTTTTCCAATCACCTGAAGAAGACTGGAGCGTACAATGGCTGGAACATTGTGAATATGGCAATGAAGATGAGGATAACAGAATAATGTAAATTAATACCTCATCTTAGATATAGACAGATATTGGAGGATTTTCTTACAGTTGGTTAACATATTTTAATAATTTAGTAAATGTTTATAAATTTCTGAATAAAAAATTGTTTTCATATTTATTTCTTTATAAATTGGTAAATGATAAATATTGCATTAGTTCTAATTGTGTTAGTTTTAGAATGCTGTAAATAAACAATGTAATAAATAAAGTGTTTAATATTTTTGTTGTAAATTCTCAAAAACGAAAAAAAAACCATGTATAAATCCACTTTCAACATATATTTAAGTTTTTTTTCCAATTATAATCATCACTTTTTAAAATAATAAAAATTGCATTGCTGAAGAGTGAAGGTAATAACAAAAGTAGTGCTATGTGAAGAAATGTCATTTTTGACACTACTTCATATTGCGAGCACATTTATCCATGTTTGCTAAATAGTATATTTCAGATTAGAAGACTAATTAGAATCACACATTTTTTTTGTTTAGATTAAGGCTGATAATTGTATAGAATATATAGCCATTAACAAAAAAAGTCAAAGATGCAAGCTACAAATTAGAGATGTCAAAATCAAGCAAGTTTTTTTTTTTTTTTTTTGTTACAATAATGTTCACCCTGTACAAGGCTCGGGAGCCACTCAAGGTAGAGGGTTACAGAATAAGATGCACAGTTTATGCAGATATATGGGGAAGATAACAATTAATCCTTGATTTGAACAGGTTAAGATTGTAGTGATTGGGAAAACACCCTCTTAGAATTTGGTTCTACAGAGCAGCAATTCACAGGAAGAAGCTGCTCGAGTGGAACTTACATCTCTCAAATGGAATATGAAGGGAATGAAGGTAGTCTACCACAATGTGCATAACATGGCGTGTCTTAGCCATGAAGGTTAAAACTGGTGGAAATAAAGAATGTAGTATAGAAATTTATCTATCTTGGAAATGTTTTGAGAGATGAAAGAAAATGTGACACAAAAATCAGAAGGCATATTGGAATTGGAAAAAATGCCCTCCAAAAGCTTGTGGCAACAGAGATGTGGTTCTACAGAAGGATGTTAAGAATACCATGGATGAGGAAGTTTTAAGGAAAATGGAAGCAAAAAGGGTACTTATGCTTAGAATCAAAAAGAGACAGTTGAAATTTCTTTAACACGTAATGAGGAAAGAGGTCTTGGAGAATTTGACACTCACAGGACATATTAAATGTGTGAAGGACAGAATAAATCAGTGAACAACCTACCGAATGAGTTTGTGTAAAGAGATGGCAGAACAGAGAGAATAGCTACAATGAATAGGAGGTTGTTTAGTCAATCTTCCACATCCTGAATGAACAAAAGACAATAGAAATGGACTGATAAGAGTAATTCTTGCTTGTTTTATTACGATTGAACATTTTGATGACGAGATATAAACATAGAAATCTAAATGACTCTACAGAAACAAGTTAATAACATAACTTGATTATTTGTTCTGGGGGCATCATCATAAAATTAAACAATTGTTACCAAATAATTAAAACCACGGAACTGAATCGACAAAGCAAATTAAATTTTAATGAATTATCTCCCTTTACAGAAATACACATTTCCTTGTCCGAGCTTCAAAACAACGCTTCTAAATTTAGTTTCATGCTGTTGAGATTTTATAACATTTTAAACTCGTTATATTCTAAGATTATTTCTTTATTTACTTCGAGAATCGGTCAAATGATCGTTGCTAAACAAAAGAAAACTAAAAATAATAAACAGGAACTTCCGTTTCACACCTTTAAAAACGATGTCATCATTCAGGACATTGATTGCTCTGCTCTTCTTAAAAGTGTAAGTTTTATCCTGTGTCGTGTTTGTGTCCGTTAACCCGACAGTGTCACCAAATAAAAAGTTCCAAGTGAAGAAAGCCGGAGCGAAACTTTATGGAAAGAATAAGGAAAGATTATAAAGAAAAAAGAAAAAAATTCAAGAATTTGAAATCAATCAGAAGAGTAATTTGAGCAACATCATTAGTAATTTTTTTTTGGCAATAAAAATATAGATTTCATGAGAAAAAAGAAAATTGCTCTTCCTAATGATACAAAAATGTTTTGTTTTTTTTGTTTTTTGTTTTTTCATGATACCACCACCACTACCAAGTAAACATGTTTTGAATAGATTTTTATTTTATAATTAACTGGAGCATTTGTTTGAATGATGGACAAAATAAAAAGTTTAAAAATTAAATTTTCATCAGCTTAACAAACTGCTAGGAAGGTTTTTTATGAATAAAATACTAAAAGAAGTAAACAGGAGGAACATTCATAATTTGAACAAGGTTTAATTAATATTTAGATTGCAAGGCAAAAAGGCTAAGTTTTCGAAAGACTTTAATTCGTTCTTTCTTTAGCAAGTGATCATAGAATTAGAATATAAACGTGAATCAGTAAAAAAAAAGAATAAAGCAGGAATTACTTCCCATATCGGAGGTAGCAAACTTTTAATTGTAAAAAGTTAACAAAAATGATATTATTTTTAAAAAGTTTTTGCAAAATATAGACAAAACAGTGAATTAAAAATACGTAAATTCGATTTTACCACAAAAGAAAATCGTAAAGATTTTTACAATTTGTAATGATTGTTAAAATAAAAACATGAAAATAATTCTCAATTCTCAACTAGCTCTTCATTTAAAATCCCAACTATGAACTGAG